CATATTCCTCCATTTTAATACTACATCTTTGCAGACATATACTGTGTTTACTCACAAAAAAACATACTGATTCAGTCAGCAGAGATTCAGTTACTTGAAATAAAGAATTGCTTTCAGATGTTATAAAGACAAACTGTCTCTGTCCATGAAATGTCCAGTCAGAAAGGTTAAAAGGTTAAGGCTTTCTATTCTTTTTTAGATTTTATATTCTTCATAGGAACAAAACCAATCATTATAGATCTCCTCTAATCTCATGTTTCTTTTTCTGTGGTTATATTATCTTTTTCTTATGTTGCACTTACCATGAGGTTAAAATGATTCAAAAACTATTTTAATCAAAAATATTTTTTTTATTATTTTATATGACTGACAGACCTCCTCCAGAAAAACAGATGATTTTGTCATGTGTACTGCAAAATAGTTTTTTTACAGACACAAATCCTGGTTTTCATAGTTTTTTAAAGTGTTTTGTGGGTTTTGTACAGTTTTGTGAAAGGAACATTTAATTATTTTAATTCTACAGACATGATATTTATGGGATGAATGTGGGCTTTTGAAACTGCTGAACTGAGTTTCTTCAGCAGGGCCAACTACATTTTGACTCAAAGCACTGAAGAAATAGGAGACCCAGTGAATTAATGCTGATATAGCCCAGGGTGAGAGTATAGTCAATTGTAAAACAGGTACATTTTATTGAGTAGATGTTTGTTTGAGAGACTGCAAAGGGAAAAATAAAGAGCTGGAAAATTGTCTCTAAGAGATAAGATCTAAGATCACTTTATTAGCCCTATAGAATTTCTTGCACTAGGAATGTGTCTTTTCTCTATTACCTACTGTATGTCCCATTCCTTCATATATAAAAAGTGCTCATTGAAAAGTAAATTAAGTAAATCATTAAAACACAGGGGGTGGCACAGTACTGCAGTGGTTTGCATTAGTGCTTCACAGCACTGGGGTGCTATCTGCGTGGAGTTTGTGTAGGTTTCCTATGGGTGATTCAGTTTCCTCCAAAGATACTGATGTAGGTTAATTGGCTTCTGGGAAAATTGTCCCTGGTGTGTGTGTCTGTGTGTGCTCTGCGATGGACTGGTGTATACTGCATTGTGCCTGTTGTTTCCTGTGACCTTACATTTCATAAAGCTGTTTGAATATGGATGGATATATTCATTTTTACTGTTATAATTGTCTGATTAATAAAATAAATGTTTATGAAGCTACTTTTAAAGGTGTCCTCTTGAACAAATGTATAGTATTGATAATATGTTGTTCAATCAAGAATTGGGAGCAATATATTAGTATCAATATTGTTGAAGTAATTAAGAACAAATTATTATTTTTAAATTCTTAAAATCTTACAATCCTTTAATGTCTCATTCTATCTTATTGTATGTATTGCATTTACAATGCAGCCATATAACCACCTATAGCTCCAATTTCAGCATCTATTGCTATGTTTTACTACAGGTTTTACTAAATTATTTAATAAATCCTACATCTACATCATATTCTCACAGATAAAAAAAAGACATGCTGGTAGATTAATTGGCTTCTGTGTTGGTGGGTTTTAACTTACCTTGCACCCATTTCTTGCCGGACTGGGCTCCGGTTCCCCTGTGATAAAGTGGTGAGAAGATGGATGGATGGATTAAAATACATTCACATAAATTCACGTAAGTACATGTGAATGTAGCAACCAATATATATATATATGTAAAAGACCCGCAAAAGTAAATGTGCAACACTCCTCATTTGAACCATGACACATTACAGAAATAATACATTTACATTTCACAAGAATATCCTGCTACAATGTAAGACCGAAAGTGTGTGGGAGCACATTATTCCAATCCCCTCATGCAGAAATCTCTATATTTCCCACCTTTCCAAACTCCCTGTTTATGCAAACCTGGCTTGATTATTGTTTTTTACCATGCTGTCTTTGCTGTAAAATGTTAAAGACACAGGCATTCCTTTCTGCAGAGAGCTGTGACTATAATTGTATTAGAATGTGTGGCGGATCGAAAAGGCTGTCTAGATTGTCCTAATGAATGGACTAACAATTAGATTAAGAGCTGCTGGTTCTGGGAAAGTAATTTCAACTCAGTTCTTCTCAGCACTTCTGCCAAAATTGCTTATCTGAATCAACCACCCCCATAAACCCATAGCTGATTTCAGCTGTTTCTGGGGGAGACCTCCAGATACACATTATTTCCACAGCAAATATTCAAGCTTCTTTCTTAAAATCTTAGGTTAACATGACACAAATATTTCACATAAGATAGTGACTTTTGTTATTGAGGTGCTAAAACTGCACCCCAATTACATTGCAACTGTTTTTTTCAACCACTGCTACATGATGAAAGATAAAATCTAAAGAAAGAGATTAATACATGTTATCATGTAAATATTAAAATATATTTCTAAGGATTTGATGTATTATTTTGTTCAAGTTCAAGTTCACATTTATTGTAGTTATTATACTCATACACAGGTATATAATATAACAAAATGCTATTTAGCTAGCTCTCAGATGGTAATTAGTACAAGAAAAACAACAATAAAATTGTATAAGAAAAGAAAACAGGCAATGTGCAAAACGACAACAGGTAACAGGTAATGTACAAAACAACATCAGTTGTGCAAAATCGAACTGTACATCAACAGAATTAAATAAACAATAGAAAATTATGAGGAGTGAACTTCTTGACATGTGAGGAGATTTCAATGTGTGTTTGAGTTTTGATAAAGAGAGAAGGCACTTGAGGGTTCAGATCGTAGGTGAGAGAGGCTGGAAGTTTAATAGTTTGATAGTACAGGGGTAAAAACTGTCTCTGAGTCTGGTAGTCCGGGCCCGAATGCACCGGTACCGTTTTCCAGATGGTAGAGGGTCAAACAGTCTATAGCTAGGGCGTGTGGGGTCTTTGATGATGCTTATTTCCTCAAGCACCGTCAGTCATAAATGTCCTGGATAGATGGGAGAGCGACCCCAGTGATGAACTGGGCAGTTTTCACCACCCGCTGAAGGGCTTTGCGGTCAGCAATACTGCAGTTGCCATACTGTGATGCAGTTCAGGTGGGTAGCTGCGTCAGCATGCGTAGGCTGCAAAGGAACAAGTAATAGGTTTATTCCATGCTGAAAAAAATGGAAAAAAAATGGAAAATGGCCGTGACACACCTGAAGAAGGCTCCACGGCCGAAACATTGTGTTCTCTTTCTTCTTTTTTTCAGCATGGAATAAACCTATTACTTGTTCCTTTGCATACTGTGATGCAACCTGTCAGTGTGCTTTCTGAAGTGCATCTGTAAAGATTAGTGAGGAGATACCTTAGCCTTCTTCAACTGTCTTAGGAAGTACAGGTGCTGTTGCACTTTCTTAAATCTCAACTGGCGTTGAGAGACCATGTGAGGTCCTCTTTTATATGCATGCAAAGGAATTTGAAGTTACTGACCCTTCCCACTTCAGTCCTGTTGATGTGGATAGTGGCATGACCGTTTTGCAGTTTTCTGAAATCAACGATCAGCTCCTTGATTTTGCTGACATGGAGGGTGATGTTGTTGTCTTCACACCCTGTTGTAAGGAGATTGACCTCTTCCCTGTAGGCCCTCTCATCCTTGTCTGTGATCAGACCTACAACTGTGGTGTCATCTGCAAACTTGATGATGGAGTTGGTGTTATGTTTGGCCTTACAGTCGTGGGTGTAGAGGGAGTAAAGCATTGGACTAAGCACTCAACCCTGGGGAACCACACAGATATGGTCTCCAGATATGGTCTTTATAAAACATTGAAGCTTCAATTAACAGGCCAAAATCAAAGCCTTAACTATAAGGCAGGACCATACCTGTCTTCAGTGAACATTATGATAAACATTTAGTTTCAGAAACAGAATATGTCGTTAAGCAGTATCCCAAAGAAAAACAATATTTAATCTGGGTCAAACAGAAGAATACGATCTTGAGAAATCACTGGACTTTAAAGTAAACACATTTAGTGTGATGTCATCTAAAAGATTAAGTTGTGGATTATATTTTCATTTAATAGAACAGTATAGTGCACTTGTGTCTTACCCATAGTTATCTGCATTAAAAATAAAAATAAATATATTTTTGCATGAGAATCTCATTTAGGCATAATTTAGTGGCAATAAAGCTAGTTACACTAATAGTGTTGAGAGGTGGCACATTTCCTAGTTTCTCATTTTTTCTATTATTCACACTTTGTTTGCAAATGATAAGAAATACAAAACAGGGGAGTTAAAGTTAATTACTATAGAGTCAGCTTGAAATATTCTATCATATAATTGTTTTTTTTTAAGGAAGCAGTGCAGATGACTGTAGTGTTAGCTTCATTTTATTTTAAAAGTAATTTCTATGGGAAGAAAAAAATAATTAGACTTAAAAGTGATTTTAGAATGAACTGGTCTAATCCAGTATTGTGTGGGCTTAAAATAATTTAATGCATAAAATAAATCTCTAAAAGAAAAGGCTAAGAACAAGCCTGCTCCACTTCACAGTACACATTTTGTGTATTTTTTCTCTTTTTTATGTGAGACTCTCCCCACAGGCTGACTCACTCACTCAATGACTTATCCTCCATGACCCTTCTTTAGTGCCCTGCACAATCTGAAAGCAGCACGTGGCTCTTAGAAATTGTATTAAATTGCATTATTGGTATTATCCCACTGCCATAGATAGCAGCTGGCACTACTAGCGCACAGACATGCACTGTACTGCTCAGCTAGGAACTCCCCCGTTGTGCAGCGTTAAAATCCTGAAAGAGACTCCATTGACGGTGAGAATAACTACCTTTTGTTATCTTTCTTGTAAACCGTTGGTTAGTGATGATCACAACTTCCCCTTCTCAATAACCCTGCCTCCATCTCGGCATTTCAGACCACATAATCTAGGATTTCACTGTAAGCTTCTGTCTCTTTATGTGCAATAACAACTGCTAGTCATGTACAACTGTTTCTTATTGCTTGCTTGTGCTTTTTTGTTTTCAGTTCAGCAATGCACTTTATTTGCTAAGTCATCATGGCTAACAAGCAGCAGAGAAATAGGCCGTGAGAAGCCATCAATATCAGGTATGCCTGGAGATTTTAAAATTTAGCCTCCCATAAAATCAAGATTGTGACAGATTAGAACATCGTTTGGGTCCGTACCTTATATTTTGTTTAGCTGGTTATTCTCACTCACCAGATTTTTGTAATCTACACACAGTTTCTCCAGTAGTATTTTTTGTATAGTATTTTAAAATATTTCTGTGGGCTTTCAAAAATCAAAATGAATGTGGTATGTTCCTGCAATTATATTGAAAACTAAAAGAAGCTTCAAAGGTATTACTTGTAACATTATATAAGCAAGGAAAACGTAAGCGGTACATTTTAAATGAAATGCAGTTTAGTTTTTGTTAGCTTTTTTAATCAACAGCAGTATTTCTGAAAATCTCAATTGTTCTTTAATGATTTTCTATACAAATTGGGGGATCTCAATGTGATACATTTCTGGAAAAGCCAGAAAATGTCGCAAGCCCTTGCTGTGCAACAGGATACGAAGCATTATAGCAAGAACAATAGCTGCAGTTCAGTAAAAGTGCCAGCAAAGGGCAGAGACTACAGGAGATCAGAATTGTGGCAAATGGCCAGATATAATTTGTATAATTAGACTCTAAAACCCTTTTACTTAAACAAATGAACATGTTCTCTTTGTATTATTAAAGTATTGAATTAGAAATAGCTGCTGTATATACCAGTATATATTTGTTCAACTTTATATTATCTATTTGAAATAAATCTTGTGTCGCACAGGTAATATTAACATGTATAAATTAAAGAATGGGGAGCTGCATTAAAGTACAAAGCACAAAAAACCTGAAAATGTTAATTCCACACTGAAATGTAGCTGTTTCAGCTGTTGTTGCTTATTCAGGTGTATGTATAAATTAATTGTACAAATAAAAAAAAATTACATAGTTTGAAATGAAACATTTAAAAATAGTATTATCATCAAGCAAAAAGGAGATATAATTTATTTCTAATTCAATTATTCAACTAGCTTAATATTGAAGTAATACTTAATATTGAAGTATTATAGGTTGAAGTATACTAAAATATGTTAATAAATTATTAATATCTATCAAGATAAATAAAACCTCAGCCGTGAATTGGCATTTTCAATATTGAAATATTATACTAATTCTGACCTTCAACTTATAGTTGAGTAATACAGAGAAAATCCCACAAATGATGACAAAATACCTTCATACATTTTTTTAGTATTGTTAGTATCAATAAAAGCATTATAAACATATTAAGACATTAACGTGTTAGCAGGGAAGTAGGTTTTGTAGTTGTAGTTTTTTACTATAAGAACAGGAAACATAACGCATTCAGAATATCAATTGTTAATTCAGCATCAAATTACAGTGTTGAAATGCAAAAGGGGAACTGTGGCTCTTCCCAATTAATAACAATAACCTAAAATCTGGTAGAGTTATCCTCCATTTCCACTACTGCCTGGCATGGAAGGAGTCCTGCGGGCTTTAGAAGGTGGCTTTACAACTATCAATCACACTCATAGCCATGCTAGTAGGCCAGCCAGGGAACATAGGAACTTCCTGCACTACCTTTACAGGAAAGAGTATATGTGAACACTAAACCGACATGAGAAGAGAGGAAATGGAATGGAAAACTTATTGCTTAAGCTTTTAGGTTTTTAAATGTGAATGAAAAGGCACAAGCTAAAAGATAAATAAACTCAACCGTAGAACTGTAGTGAATGAAATCACTTTTGCTGTTGGCCCCAGAAAATACTGGTTACAAATGTACTGTATAGCTACAGTTTTTTTCTTTAATTCATAAATTGTTTACTTAATTATTTTAATTTTGGAGGGTACTTTTCATGTCTGCTGGCTGAATTGGGTGTTGAGTTAGATGTTTTGGTGGATTGGCATCAGGTCATGACAGTGTTAATGCTCATTTGAATTCTCCTCTCTTTTCGTTGGTGGACTCTTGTACATGTTGCTGTCTTGGTTGCAGGTGTGAGGGAGTCTACAGTATGACTAGACAATACAACAAAAGTCTCCCAGGGAGGCTTCCATAGGTAATGGCCATTTTGGCTCTTATGGAAATCAGGAGTAGTCATTCACTGACAGCCCTTAATTAAAGGGCAACGTTGATTAGTCTAGACTGATTTAAACTGGATGAAAATAGTGCAGGAGTGTTTCTTTGAACAGTTGAGATACAGAATAGAAACAGAAAAAGCTACATGAGTAAAGGATTTGTATGTAAGCATTTTCTATTGTTTTGAGGTTAGGAATCAATCCTACTTGTTAGTGAGGATGTTTATTACAAGTACAGGACTTCCATTAGGAATTAGGTTTTGATAGTAAAAATAAACAAGGACATTTTAGGAGACAGATACCGTGGGTTAAGAAAAGAAGGCATTGTCTAACTAATGGTAGATTACATATAAATTGTCACAGGACAAAAACCTTCAACTTTGGCCATGCTTGTAAAAAACTCTTATTTTGTAGCATGTCATTTTATTTTTTTTTCATTTGGTTTGGACCAAAAACATAGAAAATAACACATATTTCCCTTCAACCACAGAATAAAATCATTTGTTCCAACAGTATCATTGGTTCAGTATCACCTCATATAGTTATTGATGAATCAAGGTTTTTTGTAGACTAACTTGATGGGTGTTAGGAAGGTTGGCAAGTGTTCTATAAATTATAGATTGAAACATTAATTATTATGTATAGTACAACAGACCAATTGATGGGGAAGTTCAGTGTGATGGTCTGAGCAGAAGTGATGGACAGCAGCCTGACTGCACAGTGCTACATTAATCAAGTCCTGGAATCTCATTTGCTGCCTTTCCCCAGGCTGATGTGACAATATTTCAGCAGGACAATGTACATGGTAGTGATGTCCATCTAAACAACAATTTTCTTTCAAGATCTTAATATGATAGTTATGATATACTGTAGATGCCCTACTCACCGGACTTGGGTCCCATATAACCTGAGGTGAGCAAGGATGACATGGGGCATCTATGGATCATAAACCAGTTAACAGACTTGCTTATCCAGGGTCTATGAGAGGAATAGGACAGAATCCAACAAGACTTCATAAGCCAGCATATACAAAATGTTCATAACAGATCTACAGTTCGTAGTGGTTCATATTGACTGCAAATATTAATCAGCGTGATTAATTTATTCTTCAACAAATGAAAGCAACATTGGAAATAATTACCTCTACAATATTCCCCAGAAAACACTGGGTTATGGCTTATTGCCTGTCATCACCTGACAAGTTGTAGGAAGACAAGGCACTGTAACAATATTAGAAAGGACGCAAATGCAGTCAGAACAAGAGGGTAGATCCCTTGAAATACACAGGATATTGAGAGAAAGGAAGCCATGGACTGACCTATAAAGGAAGAGAATTAGAGAAAGAGGATGGGATTAAACTTTTACTTTGGATAAAGGGAGCAAAACCTCCTTCAAGGGGAATGCACAATATGGGAGACCATAAGGAAGCTTGAGGTCAATCCAGTGTAAGATGGCAGGCTACATCCTCAAATTGAAAGCAGAAAGCAGTTTAGCTGCCCAGTTCTTTGGTTAGAAAGAAATAACTTAATGAGTAGTTAGTTAATCTCAGGAGGAGAGGTTATTTCTGTTGAAAATAAAAGGCATATTTCTTGCACAAAATCACTTTCTCTGTGCATTTGTTGCCCACCTATTTTAAATAATTTGGTACCACGCCACACCAGCAATGTTACTTTTACCTACTGTATATATGTTCAGTAGAAACTTAGTGCACTTGCATTTTCCTGTTAGCTTTGTGAATTCGTGGCTGTTATAAGTGATAAGTTTCTTTTGAAGCTCAGTATACAGCACATATGTCTGAAAGTAATTTATATCTAAAGTAGATAAAGGCTAAATAAATAAATTAAGCCATACCCTAATGACATGAAAACAGTGAAATGTGATATCATAATCCTCAAACAATTCTGGTACTACAAGGGTAAATGTCCAAAGGGACTAACCGTGGGGAGCAGGAGAGCGGAAAAAGACCCATATGCATAGCGGCGAGACGGGAAAAAGGCCCGGGCTCATTAGTGCAAAGA